AAAAAATTTTCAGATAGTAGCTAGTATAATCCAGATAACAATGAGTATAATCCAGATTACAATGAGTATAATCTAGATATTATTCAGTATAATCTGAATTATACTAGCTACCATCTGAAATTTTTTTTCACCTCAGGTGTCACTGAGTATAATCTGAGATGGTATCCAGTGTCATCTTGTTCTTTCCGTGCAGATTCTTAATATTTTATTTTTTAAGTAAACGAATGATACCATATGGGTTTTTCTTGCATATAAGCTAATTTTCCACCAACAAACCTTTAATTTGCCTACACATATCACAAACTTTCCTCTCCTCATTCATAAATAAAGGGGCTGCGCACTCCTTTATTTTTCATGAGTAAGTTTTTAAAGTAAAGATCCAAATTTGTTAATCTAAAAATAAATAAAAATTTTATTTTTAATACTTATGAGCTGCTTTCATCTTTCGGATTATTAATAACTTCCAAAGGCTTAAGAAAATTACTCGTTCAAAACAATATTATCAATTTTAAATTCGTTCTTGTTCAAAAACTCTATTATTTTGTTTAAATATCTAACAGATTCATTGAACCGATTAACAAAATTGAATTATGTTTTAAAGTGCTTCTTAAGAATAATTTTAACTTTGTCAATTTCTCTCAATATATTTTTTATTAAATTTTCTACTGAACAGATCAAAATTTGATAAATCCCCATTGATATTTTATTTTTTAAGTAACCAATAAAAATAAAAAATCATCAATTCACTAATTCAATTATATTAATCTCAGTACCATAACTCATTACAACATGAATTATTTCTTCCGTACAAAATTTGGGAAAAAGTATTGTAATCATCCATTTAAAACTTAATGACGCCTGGCCATTTTCCGTTCCATTTTTCTCTGTTTCTTCTCATCAACTTCCTGCTCTTGGGGTGCTGCGAAGAACCAAGGCGCTAGGATAAGCGTCCAAGCTAGATAAAATGCTCGTATTGGCGCCTGGAAAATGAAAAAAATTAATAATATTACAAAGAATTGTAAAGAAGACATAAATTTTGATAGAATTTGAATTTTTAATAATTACCAATAGCCAGAGTAACCAAAAGTAGTCGGAAATAAGTGACAGTATTTGACATCCGGCAGTTAAGATAATTAAATCAATTACATGTCTGAAAATAGGATAATATTCCGTTTAAAAAATTTGCTATTAAATATCATAATTTTTTATTGTTGGTGATTTAAAATTTATGAAGATTTCTTCATAGAACTTACTCAGCTATTCCTCCTTTGAGGTTGAGATCAGATCCAGGATCAGTTAACTGATTTTGACTGTACTTTGGCTTGGCCATGAAAGACATAAATTGATAACTTGCTACATAAATCAGTCCAGAAAATATTGTTAAAGTCTGTAATAGAAAAAAGTAACCATCAATAACTTTATGATCTTGTTTTTATTTAAGAAAATTTTACTAAGTAGTTTATTAAAGAGAAAATTATAATTAGGAAGAAGTTAATTATTTTAAAATCTAAATTAAATTTTATATATTCTCATAAAATATATGTATAACACTAGCAGCCTTGCAGTCACTATGTGACTGCCATGTCTTGTGAAATATAAATAAATAAAATTTTGCTTTATTAAATAATGACTCTTGTTAAATTGCACTGTACTTTCTTAAATATTGAAGTTTTTAAAAATATAAGCTCATTTTGATGTTACACTCTTCAAGAGCTTTCATTTGAGTACCCACATCAATTTTTC